CACAGCAGCCAGGCACATCGCGCCCACCCTCTGCCTTACTCTTTCGCCCACTGATCCTCCGAGCCCGACCACACATTCGCTATCTCACTGTTCGCCTCGTCCCACACAAACGTGCGCAATGCATCCGCGCCTCCGCGCTTCATCCGGCCCACGCACGCCATTCCGCATCCCATCTCTTACATTCCCATCGCGTATCCTCTCCTCCGCACGCCATCCTCTCTCGGCAACCTTCTCCCCGCCGGCCAACGCCTCAGCACGCCCAACGCGCCCGCGCCACGCAACCACCGCGCCCATGCCCACGCCCAACGCCCCTCACGCCAACCGCCCCTCCCACGCCAACCGCCCCCTCCCCCCGCAACCGCCCCTCCACGCCAACCGCCCCTCCCACGCCCAACCGCCCCTCCACGCAACCGCCCCCTCCACGCAACCGCCCGCTCCCAACGCCACCGCCTCCTCCCCACGCCAACCGCCCCTCGCCACGCCAACCGCCCCTCCCACGCAACCGCCCCGCTCCCACGCCATACCGCCCCTTCCCACGCCAACCCGCCCCCACGCAACGGCGCCCCCTCCCACGCCAACCACCCACTCCCACGCCGACCGCCCCTCCCACGCCAACCGCCCCCAGGCCCACCGCCTCCCACGCCCAACCCCTCTCCGCCACCACCGCCAATGTCCCATTCCAACAACGCTCGCCCGCGCTCTCAGGAGCACTTCTCCCCTCCCAGGCCCGCCTGTGTGTCCCACCGACTCCCTCACCCAGCCCGGCCTGCGCTCATCTGCACTTGACGAAGCGAGGCAGCGTTTTCGAATATGCGTTAATCCGCGCTTCCGGCGCTTTTGCCAGTTCACGGCAAAACGACGCCGGTAAAGCGCGTGTTCCGCTCTGTGCCGAAGCGCTGCCTATCAAATTGAAATTACTCTCCCATCTCGCGCTGTATTTGAAGCCGTTCTGGCAAGGTGCGAAAGCTTGCACTACATCTATATTCTAGTGTTAAAAAGTCATTTTGCGCGTTAAAGAATTAACACGCTGTTGGCGGCGGGTGGCTCATAAAAGTGCTAGAATCTGCGGCTTAACTCTGCGTCCCGAAGGTAAATGAAATAAAACTGGCTTCTCGGAGAAATTTTCTTCGCGGGAAATGTTCTTTTTGAAAGTTTGTTCTTCTCTTTGTAGCGACTAAGTTTCAAGCGTACGGAGGATAATAAGATTTGAGATTCAATGCATCTTCACTGCATTATTACACATCGAGACGCCCATTAACATTCTCGTAACATAAATTCTCTGCATAACTAGAAACAGTATTATCGTGATCTTCAAATGCTGCAATCCCTCCTTTTTGTACACGTCCTGAATGAAACAAACATTACTTACTTATGAAACAATATTATCTACTTTCTATTCTTTGTTTAATAATTTAATCATGTATATTACCACGCACGTACGAATTCTTTTATTCACAAGCTCAGTTTTTCACTAAAGTGATAAATGAATATTTAATATTAAATATTCATTTATCTTCCATGCAAAGAAAGTTTTTGATACATTACCATATTTTCCTCGTAAATTCGCCCCAACAATCGTGATATCACTCTGCAGTTCTGAAATACGCAGAAAGCTTCACAGTGACACCTAACAAAAAGACCATCTTTACAGTGTCGTCAGTAAAATGCACAGCTGTCTCGGTAGCGTAATGAACTTTAAAGTGACTTCTCAATCCATAATCAGACCTCTTTCAAGAGCTCAAACACTACGCTCAGCAAAGTGTTTAGACACAAATACCAAAAAAGAGAAACCAAAGTACTCTTAGTCATGACAGAAGGGAAAATTATGAGCCAGTTAATAAAAGTTTTACTTACAAAAAATTAAAACTCCAGACTAATTTAGTCTTCGGGAAAGTGAAATCACTCACGAAGTAAAGTAGAATACCACTACGAATTTGGAATACATTAAAAAGAAATAATTGACAATATTCACTGTAAGTGGATTTTATCAACCGGTAAATGAAAGAAACGTGTTTCTCTGAACAAGGAGGTGCGATCTATATTATATCGCCATCGGTATTTCATTAATATATTCTCTGTATAGAAAGAAGTATCGAGAAAAAGTTTCAGAATCTTTACGTCCTAAATTTTATAAGCCGATGGCTCCTAACTCTTAAGCCAAGATATTCGATAAAACTGTGTTGAGAAGATAATATGAATCAGTACAAAGTTTGAAGAATGAAAGAAAGTATGAAATTTGCAATATCCGCTTAGATATTGGGATAGAAACTTTGTTTCGGCTTAGAGATAATGCACGGAAATACATGACAGAAATAGTCCTTGAAAAGTTTTCAAAAATGCGTAGTATGTGTTCCTCACGTATATACTTTCTTACATTTCTAATATCGGTTTTTGAATCAGTTTTAGAATTTCCAGAAACATGCACAAAATTGCAAAGAAAGTTAAATACTCTGTTGTTATGACCCGACAATTTGTCTCGGCTATCAATCATTACGAGCAGAAATTGACGTGATCTTTAAAAATGCAACGAGCTAGACTTCAAAATACGTTAATAATAATAATAATAATAATAATAATAATAATAATAATAATATATATAT